CCGCTCTTGTTGGCCCGACATTGTCAGTCGAGCAGCTTTCGACAGCTCGTTCCCTTGCCTCCGTCACCCTCGCGTTGTTGTAACCAGGTCTCTTCTACGAGCTCTCGTTATGACGTCCCGTAATGAAAACATCGAAATTCTGTGTAACCCCTTTTACCGGCTTATCCCCGTTCACCATCAGTAACGCGATTTAATGTATCTTCACGAAAGAGATATCGACTACATTCGTTCGCGTAATAATATTCCGTAGATAAATTAACGAAAATGTAGACAATTGCGAAAATGAAGGAACGTGACTGCTTCAGTAACCCTGCATAAACGTAGACGAACATTATTCTCGAATCACGAACCGGGAGATATCATCTCCTCTTCACTAAAACTGAAATTTTAATTGGTGACTTCCTGCAATTATAATTCAGATAATTCGCAGATAGACAATCTTTAGTGCTTGTGTCGTATAGACGTACAAGATGCTTCGTATCAAGCTATAAAGACAAAAAAGTGGATATCTTTGAATTTTAGAATGATAGCTTTCATTTGTAAAAATGTAAAAATTCGTAACTTTCTTTTTCTGTAGTTTTAAAGAACTTTTTCACAAAGTACAACACTTTCTGCGTTAGCTTTAACAGGGTTGTCACAAATTCCTCATCCTAAAATTCCATAACTTTTCCTAGATTTTCAGACAAATTTCGTAACCTTCCTTGACTTTCAAGATTTTTTACATTTTCGTTCTGATTTAGAAACTGTTAAATATTTTATTGAAAGATCAATTTAACACAGCAATGTAAATTACTATTAATGTTGCTAACACTGCTTGCATTTTTCATTGTTAAGTTGATAGTATTTCAAAACTGCATACAGATAAGATGTATTAAACTTCTTTAAAGCTATGAATTTTAATTTTTCAGAAAATTTTACAAAATTCTCTGACTTTTCTATGATTTCCCTGACCATCTTCAATTTCCCTGACAATTCCCTAATTTCCTTGATTTTATGGTAACCCTGGTTAAATCGGGTCGAGCGAATTTTGGTCTCGTAGCGCATTTTCGCCCTCCGCTCATAAGTGAAGATCGCACAAGATGGGAAGGCGGGGCCGCTTTCTCGGCGTACCTCTCTCACAGCGGTAAAGTAAGTTCGCCGCAGTCACCCAGCGTACTGGTAATTAAAGTAATGAAGGATAAACCGCCTGAAGTAACTCGTGTAATTTATCCGTGACTGCTTCCCGACTAGCTCATTATTGTACTTTGACCTTCTCCGTGCGAATTCACTTCCATCTCTTCCGCCTCTGACGTGCGGAATGTACGTCTAATTTTTACAGCTGCAATAGTCTGCAAATAATTGTTTTAGGTGAAACGGTCGGAGAGATGAGCGAGAACGTAATACAACGGTTGAAAGCAGAGATAATTTTCATATCGGGAAACGCGGTGAGAGAACCGCGGCCATGCGTTTCGCAAAATAATTCAAACTAAACATTTGTTCGCTAGAGAAATATGTCCGGGATAATACGAGGAAAAATTTGAATAAGTGGATATTTAATCAATAATAAACACGAGTGGTTTGCATGATTATTTCCAGCACCTTTTATGAAAACTCACATTGAAAGAAAAGTGTTTCGTATTTATAATTATAAATTGCATGGTAAAATAATTGTGATTAAAAGCTCCATAGTTCTATATAATACAAAAGATTTATATATATTATATATAATTGATACTGAAAATGACTATAATTCATCGTTACATGACTATAATTTGAAGTCTTTTTCGATGCCAACTATATATAGAGTGTCCCATAGAAAGGTGTTGAAATTAATCAATTGCGTCATTTTCAAATGTATCCAGTTATTGAAAAAAAATTGCATTGAAAACAGAAAAATTTGCAATTTTTAATAAATATAAATAAAATTTAATAAAATGTTCGTATACGAATATAGTTTATTTTATTGATGAAAAATATACGATTGATTTTAAAGATTAATATTTTCGAAGTGTGCACTATTAAAATTTGTACAAAACACAATTTTTTAAGGAAAACTCGTAAAAATTTTTTCTAACATGTAGTTTTTAATATTTCTGATATCCTTTTTATAGCTGCTATTAAATCTGATACCGTTTTTGGATCGTGTCTACGGTATTGAATATTAATTATTAACTTAATTAATTACTTCATATTTTTCATCAATAAAGTAAACTGATATACAAACATTTTGTTAAATTTTATTTATATCCATTAAAAGTTGCAAATTTTCCTGTGTTTTCACAATTTCCTTTTTTTTAATAACTAAATACATTAAAAAATGGCATGATTATGTAGTAATTGCAACACTTTCCCATTGGACATACTGTATATGTTTTGATACTAATAGAATTATATTTAAATATAATTACTATTACTAACATTTTAACATAACAACTATAAAAATAGCGCGAGCGTGACATGGCAGACAGCGCTCTGGTCTATCATGCCAGAGGTTCTGGATTCGATCCCAATAAGAACCAAAATATTTACGCTCGTGTCTCCTCTCGGAAAAGGCCGGTAACCTCCCGAGAATATCCTTGCCCACAGAAACACCTCTCGAAAAATCCGCCGTTCGGAATCGGCATAAAAACTATAGGTCTCATATGTTTGTGGCAATTGAATAATCAGCATGCGTAGGTACCACAAGCATGTGAGAGAGGTGTAACATAGGCCAGAGACCTAACGTAAGAAAAAGAAGAAGAAGAAACTATAAAAATGAAACTCTTAACTATAATTATCATGCAATTATAGTCATACACGAATAGAACAGTTTTGCTGAAAATTTTAGTAGATACATATCTGATAATAATTTTGTTAAATCAAAATAATCATATTATAGAACGTTTAAATATTGATGAAAATGCAGCAGAAAGTTTTAACACTCTAGTAACCAGTTTAAGTGTCTTACATAATTATTTTGATGGTCGATACAAAATTTTCAGATCTGTGTCTAGCTACAAAATTTTTAGACTTCAGCAAATTCGTGTAAATACGAAATAGCTTTCCTTTCAGTGCACTGACGAATATCCTCTCTGTTATCTCGAGAAAGAGACACCTCTTCGGAAATATCGTAAATAAAAACTGCATCATTAATCTCACACAGGCACATATTAATTAACTTTTTAATTCGCGTCTCTTGCATGCATAAATAATGTGAAAGCTTTTTACAATGCGATCGCATCACCTATATACACTGAATAATTCAAGCGGACGAAAATATAATTCACGCGGTGCAATAGATAGAAGATTTGCACGTGCACGTAAAATTACTGCGGTAATACGAGGATACGCGAAGTTCCAGGGGTTGGACCCATAAAAGTTTCAAGCAGTTTTCTAATTTAAACTCCCGATGCTTTCTGCTTCATTAAAGCCCTATCTTATCGAGCGGAAATATTCATGTAAATTGTGGCCTTGGTGCACACCGTACGTTCACAAGCTGGCGCTTCACGGGACGGACATTATTTCCATATCGACTTTTACGGGGCGACGAAAATTTATCGCGGCGCGAGAGCGCAGTGTTTTAAAACAATATTTTCGGAGATGGTGTGAAAGGAGACAAAATTATTTTCATCCTTGTTTGTGACTCTGTCAGATGCGACGAAGTTACCTTGTTGACAAGTTGCCAACTGTCACTTCACTATCGTGATAAAATTTCGTTTTCTATGAAAAGAAACGAATTTCCAAGAAGAAGAATGAATTTTTTTTATCAGACTAATACACGAAAAGAATAGTTTTACTAAAATATTTAAAAATTTAGCTAGATACAAATCTGAAAATAATTTTGTCGAACCATTAAAATAATTAAAACAATTTTAAGTAACTTGACCATCATATCACGTAATAATTTTATTTAATTGTCCAAATAAAATTATTTTCAGAATGTATCTAACTAAATCTGTAGATACTTAAGCAAAATCGTTCTGTAATGATTAATCTATTAGATCGGAAATAGAGTGTAATACCATTTTCAACCATTTTATTAGATAATATATCAGATATTTTAGTTTATCTATATAAAATTTATAGATTCAATAAAAATGTTGAAAATAATGTTTCTTCCAACGTAATGTTAGCACCGTAAATATTGCTAAAGTAATATAATTACACGTTTTGTTTTTTATAATTACATAATTGAATATCTTCTACATTCTGAGCTTTCCAAATTGACACACCTGGAAAGAAGATGCAACTCGATCTCTACGACATCTCTAATCGATCATCTCGCGTGGTTTCATCTGCGAATCTTAATAAAGTCTCATCATAAATTCTTTGTCTCAGGACACCAACGGGTCTGGAGGACGTCAGCAAGTATCCGGAGCTCTTCGCGGAATTGCTAGCGCATGGATGGTCGGAGAAAGACATTCAGAAGTTGGCTGGTCTGAATCTTATACGGGTGTTCAAGGCAGTGGAACAGGTAAATTATTCTCTAGTCGTAAAGGAAAAAGGAGAAGAGGATCATTTCTCCTCACATTCAACTTCTCGCATCGCTTGATGAAAAGAGCGAACGCGTGTCGAAAGTGGAAAAGTCGCATCGATAAAAGGATAGAGGAAGAGAGAGAGAGAGAGAGAGAGAGAGAGAGAGAGAAGAGATCGGAGAAAAGCGCTCTCGTTTCTGCCACGAAATAACCGATGGCCTGGTTCGGGTTAGCCGAGTCGACCAATATCGGATTTAATAAAGCACACAAATCATGCATCCGGCCTGCGCGTTGCATCGTCGAACGAGAGAGAGAAGCCGATTGGGTGGACCGTGATTTTTGTTCCCTTGGAGTGTTGCCAGTCGTAGAACCAGCTGGCACTATCCACTAACCCATCCAACGGTTTCCTTTCTCTCTTTCTCTCTATCTTATTCACGCCTATGACGTACAGCCACGACTACATACGGCGTGTGTATTAAATGGCTCTGAGGTATCGCTCAGCATATCGTTCAACACTGACGTTTCGTAATATAAGTACACTTGATAAAAGATAAGCTCGGACGTTCCAGGGAGAGTCGTTGCACCTGGAACCTTCCTTCGCTCGTCAACGTTAATTAAAACTCAACGCTCGAAGCTTGTTTACGTATGAAGTTACGAGGATCGCAATTGTTCTCCGCTTAACAAAAAGAAAAAGTAACTAGTAATAACTTTTTACTGTTTAGTTTCCTGTCGAAATAATGACGGGAAAGAGAATATCAACGTCACTGAGAAATTAAAGTTGCAATGCCTAAAGGATTAAAAACGATCTTTATGTTCGTTTATCTGATTATAATATTGTGTCGATATTTCCTAATGGAAATGTATCATTAAAAATTCATCTCATTCTCCGCTTAACTGAAATTGAATTAAACTCTCTCTAATTCGATTCGGCTTCTACACTTTGGTCACTCGATTAATGTCTCGTATATTTCAATGTTAAACGCCCAGTTTCGCGGAGTGCAGTCGAATGCAGATCGTCCTATGAGAATTCCAGCGCGCCTGAAAATGTTTCAGTCCGGATATTACCCGGTGGTACACGCCCCGACAGGAATGATGTGAGAAATTATGTGCGCCGGATGTTCCGGATGTTTGAGGACGCTCAGGATGGCCGTTGTTGAAATTACTGTGATAATTTAATTGCGGTGCAGCGTGGTCAACGGAACCGCGGGTTATTCGTCCGAAGCAGGAGTTGTTTATTATATTTAGAGAAGAATGTGTATAGTACATATACTTTTGTACATGTATATACATACATTTGTATTGTAACGCGCCGCAGTGAATTACACGTGAAAGCGTAAATTTTGCGTTCACACGGCAATCCTCCGAGCGTCAGTTTCCGTATAAGAACAAAGACACAGCGATCGCTTCAGCTAGGATGTTGGCGAATTAAAATTATCCTCTGAATTCTCCGATGATTTATCGTCGTGTCGCAAAAAAATGTCGCGTCCGCGGCTTCAAGGGACGCGTGAGAAAGCTGCGAGACGCACAATGGAAGCCTAATGGACGCGTATTATTCGTAAGCGCGTCTCCCCTGTCACGGCGCTTTAAATTATTCCAATCTAACTTGGCGGATGCAATTTTCCAGATCCGGCCGCGGAGAGAATATTATTTGATTATCGGAATATGAAAATGTGTGACTTTCTACACCAAGGATAATTTGTAGCGCGCTCGAGTCGCATGGAATTTCCGCGCGAATCTTATGAATCCAATTTCTTCCGACTAGAAGACGACAACTTGCCATTAATTCTCGATACGCAAATTCGCAGAGAAGTCGGCGTGTCTTCTTACCTGAGACGCGCATACATACACACACACGCGCGCGCGTACGCACATTTGCACTACGCTTTTCTCATCGCAATGAGGTCGACGAGGGTGGGCAAATCCTTTGAGCAATTCCAACTCATCTCATCGCCGTTTTCCGCTCCACCGTCATTGGCGGTGGATCGGGTTATACGAGGCAGGCGAGAAATGTTGTAATTGCTGAAATAATGGTCGTGCCTACAGTACGGCACGGCGAACAAAACGGTGGCGATTACGTTACCTTGAAATTCAATTCTGCTATTGTTCCTCGCACGAGAAGGAACGGAATTCGAAGGAACTTTGATACTGTTTCGTAAGACCGCGACTCCGACAAACTCTCGTCCGTAAGGATCCGTCCGGAAACAACCGTGCAAATTCCTCGGGCGTAATGCAATCAGTGTCGTGCACACTTGCATTATGTAAATCACCGTACCACTTTGAAACACGCTAATGTCGAGCGAAGATGACTTTTTCATTTACTCTTCCCTTTGTTCTTTAAGATAAATTGTAATAACTGTGATCCACATATTTCTCTTTTGTGTGCGTGAAAGGAATTTATTTCAAAATGTTGCGAAAGAGGTTTACACCGCACATATGCTGTTATTTTCCTTTCTTTTATAAAAGTGTGCGCATAGCGAAGGCTTTACCTTTGTCATTGGTGCTTATAAAAGCAGAAATAGAAACAGTATAATAATAAAAATAATGTAATATGAAATATATAACATAATGTTTTAATTATACTAATATTATATTTGAAATAATGTCCTTTCCAAAATAATTAAGTAATTCAATTTCAGCGTAATGATACAATTTCTCATGAATATTATATCGCGGGGATTCATTTTCAATTTACAGAAAGCAGAATTGAATTTCGGTCTCTTTCTTCTTAAGATTTTTCCTTCCTATTATCAAATCCCTTTCATTAGCGGAACCACTGATGAACAGTCATCAACATGCCACACGCAATAATGCAATTAGCATCGCGCATACCGTACCATTATTGGCTTGCTACGTATCGATCGCTACTGCATTCTGCTGAAAACATCCAACAGAGTTTTTCCAAATTCCACCCTCATTTCATCCACATTTTATCTCGTCGAAACAATTTTATGTCTCGTAAATATCAGAGCACGTAAAATATGTATCGGCAAGTGTGATGTACTATCATCCACCAAAGTGTCTATTTTCGAGAAATACGAAATGTAGTGCGATCAAGATACATGTAACTAAATATATACATTTATAATATATATATTTTATATATATATAAATATAAATTATGATAATTATATAATTTGTTTATATATTACAATTATATCGTGAAATTTTTCATATAAGTATACCTGTATATTGAAATGTATCAGTTTCAAGGAAATTTAATTTTTTTGGCATTTAATTTTTAAAAGAGAAATTGAGAAATAGCTTTCTGTGTAATTCAATTTTAACAATAATATGAATTTTAATGAGATGTTGACACGTTGTAAAGTCCTTCAGATTTATCCATTAATATCTCATATTCAATATAACGTGCTCTCGTTCATGAAGATATTTTCTGCAAGTAAATCAAGGTAGATTTAATTTAATTTTTCATATACAAGTATTAAACTTAAATGTCAAAGTTCAAGAATAATTTTCATTTCGCGATATTTAATTTTTGGAATAGAAATTCACGGCTTTCAGCTCTTTGTGCAGTTCTCTCTCCAATTCAGGAAAATATGGACTGTAACAAGACAGTTCGAGCATTTATGATGAAAATCCTTCAACATCTATTAACTTTTAATCTCTCAGTCACTAGTTTCTTCGAACGCGAACGATTCGAAATAAAATTTCGAAATAAAAAAAGTATCAATTTTAAAGCAGAATATATAGAAAGATTGACGAAGAAAAGGCTATTATATCTGTGAAACGTCCGTATTGCTGGCGTTTATACCGTAAGTACCGTAACGTTACATGCCCGAGGCATGAAAGCGACAATAAAGGCGGATTTGATTAGACTGTCGACGTCCTCCTATATCGCCCTCTCATTTCCTTTTCTGCGTTGTCTCGTAGCCGGAGATGCGCGCCGCCATCGCTCTCTGTATTCGTTTAATTGAAAATTCAGCGAGGCGGCAAAATGAAGCTTTACGTACACAGGATTTACATCACGGAGTGTTGAGCAAAAATGACGTTTATAAACGTCTAACATAACACGTGATATGTCCATTTTTTCTAAAACATTTCTCCATTGTTATATATTAAAATATATATAAAACAGAGGAAGAGAAGGAAAAATGAGTCGAATAAAATTCAACAATTTTCATCTTAAATAATGTTTACAACAATTTGCCTGTTTTTTTTAACTATATTTCTTTTTCAATCAATAAGAGAAAAAATTTAAAGCTTTGCAATGATTTTTTAATTTACAGACATTATTTTAGGAAAATTTCTCTTATTTTTTTAACAATTAATAGTCATATATGCTCTTCTATTTCCTTCGCAGAATATTGGTTTCTCGCAGTACAGATAACCAATGACCGAAAAATTACAGTTGCGTTTGCATGACGTAAATATTTGTGATAGAACGCCGTCTTCCTGTGACGTTCGTTTAATTGAAAAACTGCGGGGTGGATTTTGGGCGAGAGTGAAATTTACGTCACGCCATCCTAATATGTATTCCGGTGGGATCGACCCCAAACGGAGAACATCGTTTTCTTACTTTATGAAAGCAAAATAAATTTTACAAAGAGTGGGAAAAAAAACGTGGCCAGCATTTCCAAGTCAATAAAAGCTTTTTACATCCCGACGCTGTATCGATAAATTATTTCAGTACAAATCAGGGAGACTCTTTTCTTCTTCGTGATATAAAAAAATTTTACTTTTCGAAGCGCCATGGGAGAAGCGCAGGAAGGATCTCAAATTTAATGACATTTTTTATACCTTTCCTCTGTATGAAACATTCATTTCTTTCATTTCTCTTCGAGTATTACTACAGCGTACCTTCAATCCTTGTATCTATTTAATTAATGAAGGTATATCTACTCAAACCTATTAACTTTCATCAGAGTAACGGAATTTCAAATAATTAGTAGAGAAGAGAGTAGAAAGCATAATGAATATTATAGCAAATAACGAAAAATTTTTCAAAGCACACTGAAGAAAGGTCTGGCAATATTAGAGCTACATACAATTATAACAACATTATTATTACTTTTAGCTACATTATTATTTTTTTGTGGTTTGTATTACTTCGGCTTCAAATTATACTACATGTTCAATAATATTGGATACTACAGCACTTAAGAGAATGCTATCCTGAACTGTTTTAAAGGCTATTAATAATTCTAAATAAATGTTAATATGGCTCAATTAGAATAAATCAATAAATAAAAGAAGGGCAACGAGCCAATTAATAATTCTGTCAATTTTCCTCTTATATACATTTTAATGTATTTTAATATAACATACTATATTATATTATAACTAGAAAATGTATTTTGTTTAGTGTGTCGGTGTAATATATAGTAAACATTATCAAATATAATAATATTACTTTAAACTAAGAAGCGCCACTAACGGTCTGAATGTTAAGATGTTGAACTATTCTAAATTCATTTTAAATGAATTAATTTCAGAAATTATAATTGCATGCCGATATGGTTGTCGGACTTTCAATGCAATCAAATCTAAAATATTAATAATCCTCCCAAATTTCCCAACTTAAAAACTGTAATAAACTTATTGCGAAAAAGAATGCCTCGGCCGGGAGTCGAACTCGGATCTCTTGCATTCCGTGCGAGCATCCTAAGCCTTTAGATTACCGAGACATATATATATATTATTATTATATATATTTGTTTCTAATATTATTATAGATAATAATATTAGATAATAGTTGGTTATTAATATTATTATAGATAATAATATTAGTAACCAACTGTTTAATAATAATAATTAGAAATAAATAATAATATTTAGAAAATAAAATTAGGATTTTTACTTTCTAGTATATAATAAAATTAGGAGTTACTCTAACAGAAATGTATATGCAGTTTTTCCTGGATACACATTCAGTTACTGTCTGTATTACTTTATTCTCATTAGTTGTAACAATACTGTATATAGAAAATGGATAAGAACTTAGTAGATTTATTTAGTAGCTGTAAAGCACTTTTCCTGATAAAAATATGTGTAATTTGCGTAAATATCTATCCAGTTATTGGTTAGTATTAATAAATTATTATTAGTGAAAATCTATTTATATATTTGCGCATCATTTCTGAGAAATAACTGCAGATAGTTACATCTTGATTGGAATTTTAAGTATATAGTTCTTCATTGTCAGTTAGATACTAGACAAAAGTTAGTATACTGTCCAGTAATTGTTCAAAAAATGCATGAAATCTCCATCAGAATGATTTTGATTATATTTATCAAACATTTAACTGAAATTATTTTATCAAAACTTTATTAACTACAATTAGACTTTTATTCAGTGCATGCATGAAATTTCTTTTCAACTCTTTTACCAACCATCTCACTTTGTTGGTGGCGCACATAAATTGCTGTCCATATAGCAGACTACAAATGCGTTAATCTCGTCTCGGAATAGCAATCTCTGATCCACGTCGTGTACATCGCGGCGATTTTTCGTCATCATGCGGAAAAGGGGCGGCATGTCGCGAGCATCGCTGACGCGTTCGTCAGCCGTCGAAAGCTTCGTTTTCGGCTAAAGCCCGTGGGAGGTTAATGGGCTTCACCGAAAATTGATGGGCGCCCGTGCATGCCCGTGTGAAATACGCACACCGGCGCTGATCTTTTTACCCTCCCGTATGCGCTCGTCTTTACCTTTCATAGACGCGCCACGCCGTCCTGGGAAGCACGCGGGCTCCGACCTTTTTATTTCGCTTCCTACAACGGCAATCACCAGGCACGATATTTCCTGAAAACATTCACGAAGTGCCGTGGTCTTCCATCTTCGCCGCTTCTCTTTCTCCGTCTCGCCGCGCGAGTTTTAAAAACAGCGTCAAAATTTATTTCGGCTTTTTTCACGAGCCACCGGAATGCACCGAAGAAAAATGAGGACCTGTCTTCTGTTTTTAAATGCGCGATGAGTACACTTTGTAAATGTATCGATCTGCTTACTGATACGAGCAATTTAATCTTCTTACGTACGTCTGACCATTTCGAGAACCTTTTAAATCTATAGGAGCATTGCTACATCGTGAATCGCTCATTGACTTGTGATTCATGGACGTACAGGTATGCGGATTACAATGAGTGATCGACGGCTATAGGCCATGATTGGTAGTATTGTTCCATGAGCGCCAAACGCTTCGATACAAGTCGACGACTATGGTAACGCATATCAAAGGACTAAACGTATAAATCATCATAAGCCATGCTTTAGTATAGTCAATAAATCACATTTACTACATCGCAGCGTTCTCTATGTGTGCAGATTCGCGACAACCTGGCCGCTGAAGGTATGGAGCCACTGGAGGAGGAGATCCCGCAGGAGGATATAATCGGTCGTGATTACTGCCGTTACAACATAAAGCGTCCGATGACGCCTTAAACTGCCGGAATCCTCTCAGCGAACGCTGCGAAACGTAACTCGCAAACGAGTCGAGTGATCGAAACGGAAACAGAGAGATATAAAGTATACAGAGAAAAGAGAGAGACAGAGAGAGAAATAGGATGAGAGGAACGGAAGGCAAAAGTTCACTGCCCCAGCGGGAGTAAAACTCACCCTTTACAACTTTATCACCAAGTTTGCGAAACCCCTCGCGTCTCTTAGACGACACGGTATCCGCTGCACATACAGATATGCACACGTTCTCTCCCCTTCCCTCTCTTTCTCTCTCTCTCTTTCTCTTCTCTCTCTCTCTCTCTCTCTCTCTCTCTCTCTCTCTCTCTCTCTCTCTCTCTGTCTTACCTCTTTCGATCCTTCTCGCTGTTACCCACGATTCTCATCTTTGTACGTAAGTAGATAGATAAACTCGATTTCCGCCGAGGATCTTGGAGCCAGGAGTATTCGCGAAAAATATCAGGACGGTCAGTGAAACGTCAGTACCGCGACTAAGAGCACAGTGCCGCGAATAAAAATTGTAGTTAGACTAACAATGAGCAGTCGTGTCGCTAAGTTATTCCTAGAGATAAAATAAGATCGGACTTGCAAGTTTTACTTCCGTCTTTTAGCTCCTTTATCGCTTGATCTGCTTCACAAAGAAGCATAGTAATGACAAGATAACAATTATACAAGTTTTATATCATTCCCTTGTTCCAAAAGTGACACAACTTTAAAAATTAAGTTTTATAAAAAAAAGGAAAAAAGTATTTTTCAAAGAAAAAAATTATTGATTAACCTTCTGAGGACCGGCATGTTTTTGATCGACTTTTTTAAGGGCTAGAACTTTTTCGTCAATGTCATGGAATCGAGTGGCGAAAAAGATGGCGCCACTGTCGAGTCCCTAAAGGGGTCTCCGGTTCTCCAAAGGTTAATCAAATAATAATATCGGCAAAAGAATATATTCTTAGAAACATGGTCCAATGTTACTTTTATTTTATAATCCTTAAAAAATCACTCTCTTTAAGTTGTAATATTTTCCTAAAAAAATCCAAAATAATTCAAAAGTGATGTAACTCCAAATATTACTAACAGTTTACCTTGATCTAGATTCAAAATAAAATAATTTCTTCTTCAAACTTCGATTACCAAAACTGCCTTAACTCTAAATATTCTCTGTAGAAAACGCTCATTTTTATTTACAAAAACGACACAATTCAAAATGTATCACTCTTATAAAAGATATTATCGTCTCTCCGAAAAGTTTAAGAATGACACAAATGTTATATTTGACAGACAGACTATGAAATTAAGTTATTTTACTTTGATGATTGATAGAGTAATCTTATCTATAATTCCTTCATAGTAGAGGAAGATCACCGATACTGACCGATGACCGATAGGTCTCCTAAAGCGACATCCCCTTATTTCTTAAAAACTAATCTTTGCACTTTATTAATACTAATAAAAACGTGATTTGTTTAGCTAATTAAAGTAGTACATAACTCATATATTTGTGTACCTTATTTCTATACCAAATCAGCTAAAAACAAATTCTATCCGAGATATTTGAATCCGAAAAGAAAATTCTTCGGTGTTCTTTTGCAAATTACGTAATTAAAATAATGGTGACTGTATTATTGATAATATTATGTCATTTTAAATGTTTATAGTTTCATAAATTATTATAGTTTTCTTTACAGAAGGATATATTTTTATTTATAGAATAGGAATGTTGGCATTATTGCCTACTATGTCAGTTTTGAAGCCCATTTTGTCAGACGCTCATTTTTGCATAACTTACGAAAAACTTAATTATTGCAAAATTGCAAACAGTATTATAAAAACTGCTTATACTATCTGATAGAAGACACTTTTTAGTTTGTATTTATGTTTTTGAAGTTGTATTTTTACCTTTTGTTTAAGAAATATTGTCTAAAAACAAAGTGGTATGTCGGTATCGGTGACCTTCCCCTAATAACTAAAAAATCATATTTTTTTAATAGTGTTACTTTTGGAATAAGAGAACAATATATCGAATTAATGTACACACACACACACAAATAAACTATTTTATAATTATTGTAACTATACAATAGTTTATTCAATTATATGTATAAATGTACATTAATTTTATATATAAAATTTGTATGGTTGTCACCTTTGTAATTGCTACCATTATGTCTTTCTCTGAGTGCACGCGTGTAAAATTTTCTACATTATAATTGTCGTGTATCTGTATGTGTGTGTATAATCTATGTTATATATCATACATGATCTCGTATTACGTATTATTATCGTCGGAGTAATCAATATTTTAATAACGCTAGCTTGATTTTTCTCAAAGTAAAATTGTAAAAAGTTTGACTAATTATTCTTAATTGCTTCTGTGTTTATGTAGAGATTAGGATTTAATTTGAAAATTTAATTTTAATTCAATCGACTTGCTCCATATTTCGAAAAATTTTCATATTTATTAACCATGTCCAGTCTAACCGATAATGAGCAATAATAATGTTACAGCGTGTATTAATGAAGCGATAGTCCATTAATTCGAAACTACCACGAATAGTGCTATTGTAGTGCTATTGATTACTGAAACGAGCTATTGGCAAGCCATTGTACAATTTAATTACTTACCCTAGAAGCAAAATCAAATGTATGACAAAATATATGCAGAATTACGCTAAGTGCGCTCGATAACACCAACGCGCTAGAAGCTTTATATGATAATTCAAATTAGTGTTGTTGTGTCTCATAACTCATTCGCACATTCCAATTATTTAATTTACGATTTATTTACTTCAAAGAACAATACTCCGTATGGTTGGAATTTAAACTTTGGATAAATTTTAACAAACAGTGGAATACGATTTAGTAAAACGATTGAAACCCACTATGATATCCAATTACAGCGTTGCGGTACTGATATATACACTCGTCATGCGATAGTCAAATGAGAAAGCAAGCCTCGCGTGCTTCGTTGGTAAAAGGTTCAAAATTGGCTGTTAGTCAAGCTGTTAATGCGACTGGGAAATGACTAAAAGCGAAGAGCGAAATATTCGAAAATTAGCACGATAACGAGGCGGAAACAAGCACCTTATCACTGCGATACGAAGACCAACGCGTTTGTATAAACGTTTAAACAATTTAGCCACACGGGCATACTCGATGTTAAAATTTGTACTCAGCGATTTCCTCGTCGAAGCCGGAACCAAAAACTGTCCTAGTCAATAATTTATGCTATGTATACATCACGACCGATTACTTACGACGAAACTGTCGATTTATTCGAGTACGAGTGGACGATTGTTGAGAATGTAAAACCGTGAACGAGAGAGACACGTGCTTTGCGTACGTGTGTGCGTGTGTGCGTGCAATGTCCGTACGTGTGTGAATGGCAACTTGTACATATGGTACCTGAAGTCGAAAAAACATATTATTCCTCTAGCACGTCAAGCCGGCCATGTTGGATCGGAGAACCAGGTCACCGAGTGTCCTCGATCCTTTTTAATCTAGACACGGAGTCGTGTCGATGGGTAGCTAAAAATTCATGTGTCTCGATTGTAACTCTCGCGCGGTATATTGTTCTTTTTTTTTCAAATCTGACCTCTTAATCTCATCGACCGGCGACCACGATTTCCAGATGGTAAGCTTGACCAATCGTAATCATCGGGGAGCTACGAACGGGGCTAATCGCGAAGCAACTCTCTAGCGACGTCGACCAAGTCGATGGATAACGGTTGCTTGATAAAATATAAGCCTTTCCTACGATTTTGCACGATCGAAGTTGACGTCGTATACGTACATATACGCCGGCGCATGTCGCGAATTGAACAATGAATTTTTTTTAATTCTATACCGTAATTATACCGCACCGTCGCATGCGATTCCGATGAATCGCATGATATTTTTATCTCGATACGGCTACGCTCTCGCATAAACTGTTTTGCACCAAAATTTCATCATAGCAGAGAGCTTGGTGATTACATCGGAGCCTCGAATGAGCGCATCGATTTCCCTTGTGCCACGACGATATGGTCGTTAATTCTCCATTGCGTGGCAAATTCTATTTCAACGCGAATCGTTTAAAAAAATCGTTTAAAAAGAGACAAAAACGTGTCGGAAACATATTTGCAAGTTACGTTTTTATCTGGAATAAAGGACAAAAATTTAATTATGTTTTTACCGAGCAATATTACGATTTACGAAGGCTAGGTGAAAATTTGTGTAAAATTTCTAAATGAATTGCATTCATTTCTATTATTGCGTAAAGGCAACACGATACAATCGAGAGAGTTAATCTGGTCGATCCCTTGCGCAGAATCCCGTTCGGCCGATTTAACGATTATTCTCATGAGAATGGAATGGGATCGACGAAACGCGTGTCTCGCAACTAATATCCTATAAGGTTTCGAAAGTTACTGGTATCTAAAATAAATCCACGGCAAATCGGACGCCGTCGTTGCAAAAGCGATCGAGTCGTCATTTATTTCGGTCCTCTCCCCACATCTCGGTAAGTAGCATTAAAAATTTGCAGTTTGCATTACTGATGATCTTATAACGTCATCGGATTACGGTATTTTGAGAAAATTTTAAATCGCAACCAAGAATAATAAGAACCATATCCCAAAATAAATCAGATCAAAACAGAAAATCAATCAAGAATAAGAATAAGAATACCAAAATAAATCAGATCAAGACAGAAAATCAATCAACAGTAAAAGAAAAAGAATACCAAAATAAATCAGATCAAGGCATCGATGAGATTATAACCAGCAAATTTAATCTGATGATCATTTAAAATGTTATTCAGTAAAAAATATATTGTTTTCTTATTAATCTTACTACATAAAGATATAAAAAATCAGTAATATTAATATAATATTATCAATAATTTATTCAATAAAGAACAGTTGATTATTTTGCGCACTAATTACCACGTATTACTGTCAGTAATATGGTATGTGGTAATCAGTACGCAAAATATTTCAGTAAAGAATATATTTGCTTAATAACTGTATCCATCAGAAAATCCTACGTTTCATCGTCATTCAAGCCGCTTTCAGCGATATATGACAATATTTTTATATTTATATACGTTCTCAATATCTATCAGGTGAAACATCTTCTACTTTCAATAATTCAGAAGCGTCTGTCTCACTAGTTCCCTCAATATATCAACTAGTCAAAAAGAGAGAAAGAAAGAGAAAGAGAGAGACCTATTGATTATTAGTTGTTTTACCTGATGAATACTGGAAACATATAAATGACTGAAAATGACTTGAATGAAACCAAAACGTACGATTTTCTGATAAATACAGTTGTTTGCAAATTCAAATATTTATATTCTTTATTGAAAGCTAGCTAAATTTTTTTGCTATTCATTTTCTTTCCATGTAGACTTAGACGAATTTAATTTTCTCGAACCATACTCTAAAGAGGATTAATTTACGTTCTTCTGTAGGAAACAAAAAATTCATCACTGATCATTGACCGAATTCACATGTG